ACTCGTTTATTCACTCGTTCGTTCACTCATTCACTCGCTCATTCACTCGTTCATTCACTCACTCACACGTTCATTTACTCATTCACTCGTTCATTCACTCGTTTATTCACTCGTTTATTCACTCGTTTATTCACTCGTTTATTCAGTCGTTCATTTACTCGTTCATTCAATCTAATATCATATACTTTGTTCATTTTTTGATTCATCCATTTTTTCGTTTCTTCCTTCGCTCAATTTTTACCTCTTCGTGCACGCGATAAATCCGGAATGCTTACTTCAACACAAAACGTGATTATTATTATTCTTATTATTGTTGTTTTGTTATTGTCATAATTATTTTGTTGTTGTTGTTGTTGTTAGTGTTATTGTTGCTATTTTCAAACACACATAAAGTTATTTATAGCTCGTGCCACGGTGAGTTACTCTTCTATCGCACTTTCTCAATCAAACGTTGTTTAGTCATCATCATCTTCGCCATCAACGTCATCATCATCGTCATCAACATCAGCATAATCTTTATCCTCCTCCTCCTTTTTCTTCATCATCATCTTTTTCACCTTCTTCGTTCCCTTCATTCTCATCCGTTTCTTCCTCACCATCTTTGCCGTCATCATCTCTCCAGTCACACCACATTTTTTTCAACACTGATTAGAATCTGATTTATTAAATATTCTTTTCCTGTAACAAACATATGAACAGATAGACACAGAGAGAGAGAGAGAGAGAGGAGAGAGAGAGAGGGAGAGGGAAGGAAAAAGAGGGAGAGAGAGGGAGAGAGAGAAAAAAACAAACAAACACACACGTGCACACGCACACAGGATGATGATAGTGATGATGTAGCAATGATTATGATGACCATAATGATGATGATGATAGTGTCGAGGATGAAATAATAATAATAATAGTGATGATAACGACGATGACGACCATGATGATGATGATGATGATGACGATGATGAAGACGATTATGATGATTGAACTTGTAATAGGTGAGTGGTGATTGGAATGGTAATATGATAGACGTAAGTTGTCATTGCTTATCAATGAACCACACATCTTGATGATGATGACGATGATGGTGATGATGACATAGAAAAATGATGATAATGATGAAGAAGAAGATGATGATGATGATGTTGAAAAGATTGTTGATGGCAATGCAGCTATTTCCTCCAACGAATGCAAATGATTGACGAGCCTAATTAGAAAAATACCTGAAGGTTATTGATCACGCTGATGGTGATGATAAGAATGATTATCAGAGATAAGAATGATGATGGTGAAGGTAATGGTGAAGATTGTATGATGATGATAACAATCAGTGGCCTTTATCAATCGAAATGATTCCAGGCTACGGTCACGTGGTACCAAAGACGCCAGTTGGACGGTTAGTGACCATTTTATACGCTCTCCTAGGCATTCCTCTCACCTTCCTCTATCTCTCCAACGTCGGAAACTTCGCCGCCAAATGTTTCCGACTCTTCTATAAGAAGTTCTGCTGTGGCCTGTGCATTTACGTTCGCCTGCTACGCCACAAGAGACGCATGTTGAACGTTCGAAGGCAGGCAGAGGCTCAGATGAAGAGCCAGGAGGCCTTTGATAGCATTGTCGAATCGACTTTCATATCAGCGAAACGAGGTGGGGTGCTATCGTCACGAAGGGCTACTGCCACGGGCATCCCTAAAAAGGCTTGGACCCCTCTTGGCCTCGAAGATGAAACTCCCTCACTTGCCAGTAGGTTCCGGAGTTCGTTTAAGTTGCCATTTCTTTCCGTTTGGAAAGCGGGAAAAAGAGACAATGGCAAAAAAACAAAATCGGAGAAGCCAATGGAACTGCGAAGAGTTTCAACTGCAGAAAATTTCAGAAAGTATCACCAACAACGAAAGCGATCATCAGACGTTGACGAAACTGAATTCATTAAAGTTAAACAATTGCCTGTTATCGGCACCGAAGCTTCCGACACTTCATACACGTTCAACAAGTCGACCATATCCGATTCGTCGGTGTCCGATTACCGAAACCGATTAAAAATCGTGATCGTCCCGCCGGTAATTAAATTGAATGAAATTAATGATTTGGATAATAACTTGGAAGTATCTTCAAATAAAAAACAACTTAATATCTTCTCGTCATCAGCCGTGAGCGATTTGTTCGAAAGTGATTCAACAATGGTTGAAAGGAAGAACCTTCTAGCGAACAATCGAGAACGAGACCACGACCAGTCCCCAAACAACTTTCAAGGTAGATTCAACCAGATAACAAAAATCGAAAGTTTAACAGAATCAAATACTGAATCAAAAACAAAATTGCCAACCGCTTTAAACGTGATAAAAAACAGAATTTCAAACTTTACTGACACTAGTTATACAAAAATTAGAAAGAAATTAAAACTAGAAACAAAGGATTCAAATAATGTTGAACGACCAACAGATCGAAAATTAAAGCAGAAACATTCCTTCTTCAGTTCTGTTCCCGTCTCAAAAGCACCAACAACATCGTTTTGTGATCAATCCATAGAAGTGTCTGATGATAACTTTTTTGAAATCGAACAAATCCTCAACAAGCCAAACTTCCTGGCAAGTTCTACTCCAGCCTCTACTCCAAAAATTCCGCCATCAAAATCAATAAAGTTAAAAAATATTCGCTACAGCAATCAAAACCGACCAAAAACTCAAAGAATCGTTTTAACCGATTACCAAGAAATCGCTCCAACCTCCACCAAAGCAGAAACGCCATCTGCAAACACATCCATGCACACGCAACACAACGTCCATTTGCACAGAGGTCATAGTTCAGTCTTCAGAAAACAAAACTTTCCATCGGCATCATTTCAAATTCAATTGGACGACCCACCCTCACCTACGTCTGCTACTACGACGCGCATGGCTGCTTCTGCCGCTTGCACAGCCGCTGCGATTGCTACAATGGCGTCAAGATTTGTGGCGCCAAAAATTTTAAAAAGCCCAAGTTCTTCGAAGTTTTTTATCAGCGAAGAGACTGCTGTAACCACCATGAGCAACATGCCATCTTCACAGACGTCTGCAACACTTTCGCCTGCCGATACTTCACAGGTTTTGTTGGGCGTTGTTCAGTTGTTGTGTGTTGTTGTGTGTTGTTGCATGTTGTGTGTTATTGTGTTGTGCCTTGAAGTTTTTTAATAGCGTGTATTGCTTTATTTATTTTGTATAATTTTGTCGTAACCAGTTGTGGAAAATTGAATGAAATTGATTTTTCTAATTTTAAAATTATTCGCCAGATGACATCAATGGAGACTAGCATGGAGTCGACATCATCTTGCACGCCATTCATCAGCAAGCAGACAATGAAACCAGCAGACCACAGAAAATTTGTCCTCCATCTCAATCCCTTTCAGAGCCAACGACAGACATCCATCAAATGGAAGGACATCTCTCGATCGAAAGATGAAAATGTTACAACTCCTACCGATACCGATACAGCGGTTTTTCCGGCATTGAAACCGACACCTAATCGAAAGCATCGAAAGTTCACATACCGATCGAAGTCTCTAGATGATCTTTACAGTTACGGACAGCACTTGCACCGACTTTCCAAAAGATCGTCATCGTTCAAGCGACGAATTACTCCAGTAATCGGAACCGTATCTAATCCGTTTACCGACGGACCGGCTCAACATCGGTTGCCTAAAAAACTAAGTTCGAACAAAGAACTAGTACCACCAACAATAGAGTATGAAAATTTAAAAAATGAACACGTCCTAAACAAACGCGGTTCAAGCTTTCGTTCTCGAAGTTTTCGACGAAAGTCAACTCTCAGTCAGTCAGTGAACATCTCAAAAAGAGACCTACCCCTCTCAACCGATCTCAAACCTCAAAACATCCTCCAAAAACCAGATGTCGAGGCCAGTGAAGACGATCTGGAGTACGTAAAAATGACAGTGCCCATTTCAATCTGCCTCATCATCATCACCCTCTACATCTACCTTGGCGCGCAACTCTTTTCATATTGGGAAAAATGGGACTTGATAACGAGCTCGTACTTCTGCTTCATCACGCTTAGTACGATCGGTTTTGGAGATTTGGTACCTGGAATTGACAGCAGCCAAGAGAAGGCCCACCAGAAGCTGATGTTGTGTTCGTTGTGGCTGGTTGTTGGATTGTCCTTACTGGCGATGTGTTTCAATTTGATGCAGGAAGAGGTCAAGGAGAATTTTAGGTGGATTGGCATGAAGCTTGGTGTCTTGAAGCAGTAAAGAAAAATAAATTTCTAAAAAACTAATAGCGCAATGTTTCTAAGAAGGAAACACGTTTGAAGGTCTTGCGTTGAAATAAAGATACCTTTCGTTGAAAGCGTTGTAATGACGTGAAATACATGTTAATAATAAAATCAATCAACCTCATCGTCTTTCACACGAACGTGCTAGGTTAACAAATACATCGAAACGTACACACAGACACGTAGACGGACTTCATCATTCAGACAAAACAAATCTTGTCGATCTTACTCGTATCATTCAAGTCATCATTTCATCGCGTTATCATTTCAAAATGACGTCATCTTCATTAAATAACAATTTCTCAAAAAAAAAAATTTCATATCGTCTTCAAGATAAATAATTTTAGGTTTAAATTCAATTTCATTATTTTAATTCGATTTATTTAATGAAATATATTTTTAATTATAAAAAATTAATTTGAAACAAAGTTATTTTTACAATACCAGTGCCTTCTGTCATAAATATGCCTTACTAGGAATAATTTTTGAAAAGTTTTTTGATGTCCTAATATTTTTTTCAAGTATTAATCAATCAGTCGTCTATTTAGCCATTCATTCGTTCATTCATTTCTTCATTCATCTATTTTTTCATTCATTCGTTTGTTCGTCCATTCATTCATTTATCATGAGTAGGATATTGTTTATCAAGATTATATTATGCAATCACAGATATATATATATATATATATATATATATATATATATATATATATAAAGAATGTAGATAGAAATAAAACATGCATACATATACACATCTAAACACACATAGAACCACACAAATATACACACACACACGCGCGCGCACACACACACGCACGCACACACACACGCACACACACATATAATGCAATAAAATCAGGGATGTCCAAGCATTAAATCAAATCAAACCGATGTTATTCGATATTCGTTTAATTAATTACTATCGGCGATTTTTATAAGTTAAGATGATACTGTTGTGTCCATTTTTGAATGTTGCCTCAATCGAGTCAAGGAGCTAGAGTAATGAAATTATTTTGGAATTATATTATATTGCGTCATAAATATTAATTATAATAATAATAATAATTATTATTATTATTTTTATTTTTCCGATTGGTTTGTCGTCAATTTTGTAAACCAAGTTCGTCAACCGTTTTTTTCTCCTGTTGATAATAAAACTTTTCGTCTAGGCATTTTTTGATTTTTTTTTTTACAGAAATAATAATTAAAAAACAGAAAGATAAATCCAATAAACATACATACGTATAGAAATGTGTACGTACACACATACATACATACGTACATACATAGTTGACGTACATGTATACATACATACGTACGTATACAGGCATACACACACCCAAACTGTACGTATGTGTCGATCCTTGAGTATTGATTTTGCCGATGGTGTGATGTACAAGCAGCGATGGGCATGATGTTGTTGTTGTGTGTTTGTTTGAAGTGTTCTAGCTGTTGTTGATGTAGTTTTTTTGTTTTTGTTGATGTAGTTTTTGTGTTGTTGTTAATGTTGTTTTGTAGTAGATGTTGTTGCCTTGCTAGTAGTAGTAGTAGTAGTAGTAGTAGTAGTAGTAGTTGTTGTTGTTGTTTTCGTTTTGCTTGTTCTTCGTGCGTTCATACTTCTTCTAGCATGTACATCGGTGAACAATTTTGTTATCTTTTGTACACACTTGTACAACAGACATTCAAGCGCGTATTCATATGTACACTCATTTCAATGTCAGTATAAATGTGTTAATGTGTGTGTGTAAATAAATGTATTGGATGTGTGTGTGTGTGTTTAAGTGTATGTGTGTAAATAAATGAAATGGATGTGTGTATGTGTGTATATGTGTATGTGTGTGTGTGTGTATGCCCGTAAGCAAATATGTACATAACGATAATTTGATTTATCGGTAATACGATCGGATCGAATAACCGACGGGGAAAGAACCAGGTTAACGAATCGAATCGGTACTCGATCAAAAAACCGGACATATCGAAGCGAATTTATTTCATTATCATTTTTATTAACACAAAAAAGTATGCTTATGTCCGGTTCCTATAAAAAGCCCACACACACCCCTAAAAGTATCGCTATACAAAATTCGATACGATACGATTCGATACGAAACGACACTGAAGCGCTTCTGGAGATTCGGTTATTTAAGCGGTTCTCGATTGTTTAAATATGAATGATGCTTGTTTTGCTTTGTTTACATTCACACATATGACACTTAGAACGTGTTTGTGATGGTGGAGAGTGATGATGATGACGACGACGACGATGATGTTGTCTCAAATTTGAATACAATGATGATACTGGTGATGATCATGACGATAATGATGACGTCAACGATTTTGATAGCGAAACGATTTTTTAGATAATTACATTCTACTGCTTTTTTTGCTTTGTCTTGATTCATTTCATTTCACTTTTTACATTTGATCATTCAATATTTCATGCTCTCATTTATTCATCAACTCAGTCGCCAATCTGTCTATCCTTTAATTCACTCATTCATTCATTCATTCATCCATTCTTTCATTCATTCATCCATTTATTCATTCATCCATTCATCCGTCAGTCCATCTTCCGCCTACGTCATCATTTCCATCGCATGGCCGTTCAGACAGCGTGTCTGCTTCTATGACGAATCAACATAATGTATGTACGTATGTATGTATGTATGTATGTATGTATGTATGTATGTATGTATGTATGTATGTATGTATGTATGTATGTATGTATGTATGTATGCTGAATGTATGTATGTATGTATGTATGTATGTATGTATGCTGAATGTATGTATGTATGTATGTATGTATGTATGTATGTATGTATGTATGTATGTATGTATGTATGTATGTATGTATGTATGTATGTATGTATGTATGTATGCATGTATGTATGTATGCATGTATGTGTGTATGTTTTTTCGTGTGTATGTATTGCATACAAACATACAAACATACATACAAACTATTGTATTTATGTTTTCGCAATCGGCACGCACCAAATGTCCTATTGACAGCTTCTATTTTTATTTATTAATAGGAAAATCCTATAAATAAACGATTTTTTTATTATTTTTATTATTTTTTATTATTTTGGTTGTTTTTTGATACATATACTGATTTAAAATACAAAAATATTTTAGTATATTTATTAGTAAAGTAACTTTGCTGCTCGATTGTTTAATACTACACTGCTTAAATTAAACTAGTACAATACTATTTCAACGGTAACAACAACAACAACAAGAATAATAACAACAAAAATAATAATAACAACAATAACAAAAACAACAATAATAATAATAATAACTATAATATTAATAGCTTCAGAACCAAGAAACAAAACAAAAATGATTTTATATAATCGAAAAATAATAATCTTCCTGCTAGGTTAGCTAATGCTATTAATATTATTATTATTATCATCATCATTATTATTATTATTATTATTATTATCATTATTATTTCTATTATTTTCGTCAATGAAATCCAACACGAAACATTTTTCCTCGTCAGGTCTTTTATCATCATCATCATCATCATCATTATTACCATCTCCCTCCTCACCATCATCATCGTCATCACCATCGTCACCATTATCATCATCTTCTTCTTCTTCTCATCCGGTATGGAACGCCGAAGACGTAATAGCCAAAGCCGGCCAAAAACTGACCATTTCCTGTCGAGTTCAACTGGACATTTTCGACCCAATCAACGTAGAATTTTCCGACTTTTCCTCAACAATGGTAAACCAAAATGCCGAAGACAAAATGGCGGACAAGATGGCTGCTGGCACTAGCCGGAAGTTGATATCCGTAAATGGGGATAAAATTATGAAGGGGCGAGATTTGTACGTTGATTTTCATCACGATATATCGAGGAAGACGGCAAACGTTAATCTAATATTTGCAAGTTAGATATGATATATCTACAATAATGATAATAATAAAATTATATTAATTTGTAATTAAATTTAAATTATTTTTTTATTTATTATGAAGAGATTAAAGCAAGCGATAGTGGATTATTTTATTGCTACAACGAGGCAAGCGCTGAACAGCAAGGAATTCTAAACCTAACCGTTTTTGGTCAGTTTCGGCTTATGAAAATTATTTAAATTATAATTATGATAATAATAATTATTATTATTATATTTATTTTTAGTTTCTTCTTTGATTACATCATTTTCTAATCGCTATCATCATATCAATCATGGTCCTCCAGTATTCATTATCATTTTTACAGTTTTGTCACACTGTTGTTGGCATTCGTATTAGAGTAATTTTTTACCAACATCATCATCTTCATCGTCACAGTCAGTCATCTTCATCATCACAACCATCATCACAATCATCACCATCATCACAATCATCATCATCACCATCATCATCACAATCATCATCACAATCATCACCATCATCACAATCATCATCATCCTCATCACAATCATCATCACAATTTTCACAATCATCACCATCATCATCATCACCATCATCATCACAATCATCATCACAATCATCATCACAACCATCACCATCATCACAATCATCATCATCATCATCCTCAGTGCCAGTAAGAGAAGTACACCTCGCTACGTTAAACGTTAAAAGTCTGGAGAGCATTCAGAAACGAATCAACAAATCGAAGAATGAAGTCACTGATAACGACGACGACAACGATGATGATGGCGACAGTCAAGCTAGCGACAACCAAGATGGTGGTGGCGATGATGACGACAACGATGATGATAGTTATAATGAGGGTGACGACGACGACGATAATGATGACAAAAAAATGATGAAACCAAAACCACAAAAACCTGGAAAACCTCGAGCTAAAACGACGGTTACGACGCAGTTTTTCTCCAGCATCAACCGGCTGAGCCCGGGTTCGGAAGCAAACTTAGCCGACATGAACAACAGCGATGTACTCGTTTGTTACGCTACCGGCAGGTCGGATAATTTCAAACTCAATATCGCCCTCAACGGTGCACCTATCGATTCCAAAATACACCAAATCGAATTATTAGAATACTTCAAACCGGATGTTGACAGCGACGATGACGTCATTAAAAAAGTTGCCAAAAATGGCGATGCCAATGACGATGGTAAAGATAGTAGCGATGCTGCTGATGACGACGACGACGACGATGAGGATGTCTGGAAGGCCTTGGTGGTTAAGAAGGTGGACCACACGTTTGATGGTGGTCGGGTGTCGTGTGTAGCCACTGTCGCTAGCTTTCAGACGATCAACGCCACCAACGAACTCAACGTACAATGTAAATTAAACATGTTTTTTTTTCGAATTTAATTTATTTTAATACAACCACCGCTAATACTTAACGATATTAATGAAAATAATAATAAACCGGATATGTATACCAAACTATTTCTATTTTTAGACATTCCAAAAATAGACTGCCCTCAACTGGAACCGGAAGTAACTCTGGGAAAACCCAAACAGGTCACGTGCAAAGTGAAGGCCAATCCGCCAGCTGAAATAATTTTGGCGGGAATGGAGAGCAAAAAGAATGATGGCGTAACATTGACAAGGACTGTGAGTTACTACTACTACTACTACTACTACTACTACTACTACTACTACTACTACTACTACTACTACTACTACTACTACTACTACTACTACTACTACTACTACTACTACTACTACTACTACTACTACTACTACTACTACTACTACTACTACTACTACTAGTAATAATAATAATAATTATTATTATTATTACTATTATAACTGGAAACTATAAATTATACTTATGTCATTTGTGGAATTTTTATAGCCGATTGGCAAAAACGAGGTCGAGATCATGATATCGATACCGGAAGTGAAGCAGAAGCATCTTGTGACGTCATTCAACATCGTGGCCAGCAACTTTCTAGGGTCCAACAACAGCACATCCCTGAAGTTTACTACGTCATCGTCATCGTCATCATCATCGTCGTTTTCATCTTCATTGCAGGTTGATAGTCAACATCCAGCTAATAACTCAGGTTTTTTTATTAAAAAAAATTTTATTGTAATAAATTTAATTTAATAATAATAATTATTATTAATATTATTTTATAAATTAAAAGTTATAAAATAAAAATTTTACTATACCTGCTGAAAAAAGATCTGACATTGAAGTCTAATGATAGAATGATGATAATTACACAACAACGCAGGTACATCACTGGTTTTCAGTCTGAACATAAATCTCCTTTTAGCGTCAGTCGCCAGTTACGTCATCCTAATTACCAAAAACCACTAATCGATCAATTAATCAACCAATCAATTAACGCTCATTCCTAATTATCGCCATGACGATTGTTAATTAGAGACTGCTATGGTTGTTGTTTCTATGGATGTTGACATTTCAATATTCTATGTTTACTGAATGACGCGTAGTTATATACAAATATAAGTATGTGCGTGCGTATATGTACACGTGCGTCTGCGTGCGTGAGTGTGTGCGTTTGTGCGTGTGTGTGTGTTGGTTTTGCTGTGTGTGTGTTTCTTATTTAATTCTCAGTCAGTTTTGTAAGTTCATCTCTCGTTTGTTCGTTTGATTTGACCTTTTTTCACATTTGAACTTTCACCCCAAGGCAAATTGACTGACGCTCAAGCATACACAAACATAAAACATATACCATGCAAACAAACAAACAAACAAACAAACAAACAAACAAACAAACAAAGGAACATAGAAACATACCTTAAAATATTATATCTATATATACATGGTATTTATGTATTAATGTATTTGTGCCAATTACGTATATACTTATGTTATCATATGTTATTACACCACAACTACTACTATTACCACTACTACTACTACTACTACTATACTACTACTACTACTACTACTACTACTGCTGCTGCTGCTGCAGCTGCTACTATTACTACTACTACTACTGCTGCTACTACTACCACTACTACTACTACAATTACTACTATTTTTACTACAAGTACTGCTACTGTTATTCCTAATGCTACCACTACTAATATTTTACACTTCCAACACCACAGCAGCAGCTGTTGCTACTTCTGCTGCTGCTACTTCTTCTACTACTACTTCCACCGATAAAACTCCAACTTATTGTGATACTTATTGTCCTACCTTTTCAAGATAAGAAATCCATGTAATGTTAATAATGATACTGATATTTGCAACAGCTATAACACTAACAACTACAGCCATGATAGTATTTTTCAATTTATAATTAGTTTTATTTTTTCAAATGTTGTCGATCATTCATTTTTATGACGTCTTGTCGGCTTGCTATCTTCAGATCCGCACAAACATACACGCACCCAAACAAACACACACTCACGCGCGCATACAAACAAACACAAACAAACACACCCACAGAATGCTGGCAATAATAATTGCATGGATAACAATAATTAATCTTATTTAGTTTAACTGTATGTTATAATACCTGCAAGTAGTAATTCTACAGCAACTACTGTACGCTCTTGTTTTGTATACCAGTATATTAATATTTTTGTATAAATGTTATTCCTTGTGTTTCGGACATATCTATGTTGCTTTTGATTAGTTTGTTTCTCTATCTCTTTGTCTTTTTGTTTGTCTGTTTGTCTCTCCCTTTTTTACATTCTATCTCTCTTTCCTCTCTTCTCTCTCTCTCTTTCCTTTTCTCTCTCTGTGTTTGTATAAGTCTTTTGACACTATTGTTATACAACCGTTTTTATCAGCAATCCTCTCTCTCTTTCTCTCTCTATCCAGCTTCTTCTTTTCACTTTTCATATCTTATCTCTTCTTCTTTCTCTCTCTCTCTCTCTCTCTCTCTCTCTCTCTCTCTCTCTCTCTCTCTCTCTCTCTATCTTTTTCTCTTTGTTTGCCTGCTTACCTTTGTAAATTTTTGAAGCCCTGATGTCTGCTACATAATTGTTTTTGAAAACCCGTCGGTAATAATAATTGTTTTTACTGTTCGTTTTAACTATTGTTATCCTTCTTCTTGCTTATTATTATTATTATTACTATTATTGCTATTATTATTATTATTATTATTATTATTATTATTATTATTATTATTATTATTGATTTTCATATCAACGTAAGTCTGAAAGCTTGTCGGTTGTATATCTATTTAATATAAATTTAATTGTATACTTAGTAATCAACACTCTCAGAAAAAAAACCACGAAAGAATGAAAGAAAGAAATGAAAGAATAAAGTTATCCAGATCTAATTATAACAACAATAACAATAATAATTATTATTATGATTAAGTTATTATGAAATTATGATAATTATCACTAATGGTGAAAAATTTTTTTAGGGGTATTTATAAAAAGTTCGAACGCGTACCTTTGAAACCTACACATCGCTACATACAAACATCACTATCATAGTGAAATTTAACTTTATGATTTGAAAATAATTATTACTCTTAAATATTTAATTATTATTAATTATAAATAAAAATAAATAAACAAATAATATATATATATGTTATTAAATATGGCAATTGTGATTAAGACATGGCTTGAGTTGTTGAGAGGGATGGATGTCCGTGTGTTTGTGTGAGTGTTTGTGTGTGTGTGTGTTAGTGAGTGTGTGTGTGTATGTGTGTGGTGTGTGTGTGTGAATGTGTATAAATGTGTCTATAGGTGTGCTTACTTTTACAAAAGTCGAGATCATTAACATGAGAAGAATGTGAACAACTACATCGAGTTGTTCACAAAAAAAAAGTTTATCAAATAAATATTCTCACCCAAATACTAACAAAAGATCGAAATAATTTCTAATTATAATAATAAAATATTTTAACAATTAGTACAAATAATAAATAAAAATGAGAACATTAAAATTTTTATACGACATTACGCAACTATTAATTAGCTATAATTATTCATCACGAAACGAAAAAATTTGAAAATTTAAGGCAGGGATTTTTACGTCGTCTTCTCTCTCTCTCTCTCTCTCTCTCTCTCTCTCTCTCTCTCTCTCTTACTGTCTCACTCTTTCTCTCTCTATATCTCTCTTTTCCACTTTTTATTGTTAAATTTAGCTTTCTTTCTCTGTAAATAAAAAATAGAAAAAAAATTTACGCACACAAAAAATTGTAATGATGAAAGATGCTGATGAAATGGTTATTTAATAATGATAATGAACGAGGACATAGCCAAAAGAAAGGGGCTAGCTTAAGGGCTCAACTTCTGCCCCTTCCATAAAAGAATTTTCCATCATCACCACTCGCACCATCATCATCAATTACTCTCCTCATTACACCACCCCACAAACTTTTTCATTCTATTTCTTTTTGGATTTTTCTTCTGCTGCGACTGCTTCTAGTGGGTTCGGTGCCGATGCTGTGAAATTAAAATTTCCAGATTCACACACAAACACAGACACACACAAACACAGACACACAAACACAGACACACAAACACACACAAACACACACACACACACACACGCGTACCTTCTAATTTCCTGGCCACAAACTTGAGAACTTCATCAATGACAATCACAGGGAAGGATATTTTTAACACTGCAATCCATTCAGATACTGTTAAGGGTGTTATCTGGAAGACAGTCTGCATGTAGGCAGGTGTGAGGGATTTTGTAGTTGTTACATGATTTTGAAAGTCTGCATGTAGGTCTGTATTGTTTTGTAGTCTGTATGTAGGTCTGTATTGTTTTGTAGTCTCTATGTAGGTCTGTATTGTCTTGTAGTCTGTATGTAGGTCTGTATAGTTTAGCAGTCTCTATGTAGGTCTGTATAGTTTTGCAGTCTGTGTGTCTAAAACGTAGAACAAGTTTAGAAATCTCATATTTTCTTCTTACCGCCAAGAAATCAACTTCCAATATGAGGAAGTGCAGTGACATGGAGATTACTATGGCGCCCATGAGCCACATGTTGTACCAGGGAGGCATTACTAACAAACTCTGATTTTCAGATATGCTAATGAAATTATAAATTATTGCAAGTTAATTATAATATTTATTAATAATTATTATATTAATACAAAATTATCTAAAAAATCACAAGTTTTCAAACTTTTTGTTTTAAATTAGAACCTGTTAAGAGCGTTGAAGATCTCGATAACGACTAGTACTGAAAGAGCCATGGTTTTTGGTTTGGGGTTCTCGAAAATTTCGCAATCCACCCCCTTGAACCTCTCATCTTGAACGAGGCATTGCATGTGATGAGTCTGCGGTGGTTTCGTTGTCGTTTTGTGTCGTGGTGTGTCAATTAAAATGGTGAAGAAGATGATGGTTGAGATGAAAATTGGGTAAAGATGGTTGAGATGAAAATTGGGAATTCACATGAAAATCGTATACAAACCAGTTGGTAGAAATTCAATTGCGGTCCAGTGTCGCACATAGTGAACCACCAGACGGCAGCTCCGACAGTCGCTGCACCGACGTAACCACCAATTGCCATATAACGGAAGAACAACCAGTTACTAATCAAAGGTTCCTTCGAATTTCTCGGTGGCTTGTTCATGATATCCAAATCTGGCGGGTTGAATCCTAAGGCTGTGGCCGGCAGACCATCTGTGACCAAGTTAACCCACAGGAGTTGGACAGGGATCAAAGCTTCGGGCATGCCAAGAGCGGCTGTTAAAAAGATGCATACGACCTGGATGTGTTTTGGAAAAAATTTTCAAAAACTTTTATAGAATAAATCATACATTATATTTAAAACAATTATTTAAAAAATATTTAAAGACATCAAAATGTTGTTTCCGAGAAAAAATTTGCAAAAAATAAATAAAATATGAACAGTGATACAAACCTCTCCAATATTGGAAGAGATGAGGTAGCGAATGAACTGCTTCATGTTGTTGTAGATAGCTCTGCCCTCCTCCACAGCAGCCACAATCGTCGAGAAGTTATCGTCAGCGAGTACCATTTCCGAAGCCGATTTGGCAACCGCAGTACCCGAGCCCATGGCGATACCGATTTCGGCTTTCTTCAGGGCAGGTGCGTCATTTACACCGTCACCCGTCTGCAAAGACAATCGGTATTAGTCGGATAGTAACAATACGATAATTACAATATTCAAATAAATAAAAAATATAATATAATTTTTTTATTGGTATAAAAATTACTCGTTTATTTAAAACGTACCATCGCGGAAATTTCACCATCGGCTTGCAAGTATTCGACAATTTTGCTCTTGTGTGCCGGTTCTACTCGGGCGAATAGTCGAGCATTTCTGACAGCTCTTGCTTGTTCGACAGGAGGCAAGTCGTCAAATTCTCTGCCGGTGTACGCTTTTCCTGTAAATTTTGAATAATTATCAGCGGTTATAAATATAAAATACAANTTAAATTATGCGAAATATAAACTGTGATGATAAAAAATGAAATAAAATAATATATATTCCTCAAAACTTTGTATATTTATAGCAAAAGATACTCGATCACGTTTAAAAACAAATGGATTTTTAAAAAATTTTTACCTTCAGTACTTTCTGATTCACTGAAAACTCCGATTCTTCTGCAGATGGCCTCTGCTGTTGCCTGGCGAATAGGAAAGAAAAATTGAGAAATACGTCATACATACACACACAAACACACACACACAAACACGTACACCACACACACACAAACACACACACACAAACACGTACACCACACACACACAAACACACACACACAAACCTTGTTATCACCGGTGATGACGATAACACGGATACCGGCGAGTCTGCAGTTCTTTATGGCATCAATTACTTCAGTTCTCGGCGGATCCAACATACCGACTACTCCAACGAATGTACAGTTGGTCTGGTGGATAAATCGAAATCATCCGAAAATAAAATTGAACATCAAGTTTTTTGATATATAGATACTAATAGTCTAATTTATATTACAACAAATCAATAAATTAAAATGAAAAGAAGAAAGACAGAGAGATAAAAACAAAGAAAGAAAAAGAAAAATGAGAGAAAGAATTACAATTTAGAATGACGTCACAAAATCAAACTTCATATTGTACGAATTTAGTTGAATCTTCCAGATTCATCTCTTCTTTTTTAGGGGGGTTGTCGATGGTGGCCAGGGCCAAACAACGGAGGGTGTCCCTTCCTTTGTTGCGTTTTGAAATATAGAATAGATTAATTCGAAGTTTTAAAAACCATTTTGATCTTTTTTCATTTACCTCTTTGTTTCCCCACTCTGTTTTCATCTCTCTCTCTTTCTCTCTCTCTCTCTCTCTCTCTCTTTCTCTCTTCTACCTCTTTCTTCTCCCACTCTGTTTTTATATTTCTCTCTCTCTCTTTCTCTCTTCTCTCTCTCTCTTTCTTTCTCTCTTTTCTTCTTTCTCTCTCATAACCAAAGAGAAAAAATTATTAAAAGATAACTTTTAAAAATTGTAAAAATTTAGATCACCCGTGCCATAGAAACGGACGTGTTTGTAAATTTCTGCTTTCAACTGGGCTGTCATTGGCACCTTCTCAGTACCTACTCTGACGTACGTGCACCTGTCTAATACGCCTTCTGGGGCCCCCTGTGTTTTTATATTATGAATAATTATTTAATTATGAATAATTATCTAATTATAAATTTATTGTGAACATTAATTTATTATATTATGGCTAATTAAGTTTAAATTTCAAAGCTGGAAAAATGGTTCTTAAATAGTGTTATCAAGTTAATGGGATTTCTTTGCAACATCAGTGTCCAGCATTTTAGCAATTTACCACAGCGCCGTGTTACATATTAGTTACATACATACAATACATACAAAGTGTTACATACAATTTGGTATCTACCTTGACAAACATTTTTGGACCAGGCGCCAGTTTGGTTGGTTTCAGCGGTACGCAATAACTGCTCATACTTTTACGATCTCTTGAAAATTCCAATGTAAACTCCTTGCGCCACAAGTTCTTAAGAAAATATATTAATATAAAATAATTAACTATAATTAATAATTATTATTATTATTATTGTAGTTATAATTAATAAAAAATTATGGCCAGACCTGAATTCCTTGATTGCACACAGTGCCCATTTCCTTCGGCTTCAAACCAGCTTTGTTGACATTCAGTGGATTCATTTTTTCCACAAGAACTGTCAGAGCTGTTTCTGTTGCCTCACCAACTTTTTCGTAGATATTTTTGGCCTGTAGGTGGCAGTTTAAGTTTACGGGGTGAAAATTTTTTGCTGGTGACTTGTAAAACAGGGTTAAATTTTTCTATGGGCCGTGCAAGTTGTGGGATGAAGATTTTTTGTTGGCGAATTGTGGACAAAAATGAAGTTTTTTTGATCGTTTTATGATTTATAATTTCATCTTATTTTTGTTTTTTTTAGAATAAATTAGAAAATATTTAAGAATTATAATTTAAGAATGAAATAAATGAAATGGAATTCTGTAAAGACCTCGTTGTAGTCAACGCTGGAGTCATTGCACATGGAGCAGATGGTTGAAAGCTCTTGCAATGCATCAAAATCCGACGCCTTTACCTGCTTGCCTTCCAAATATCTGAAAATTTTGGAATAAATCTTAAAAGTATTTCAAGAAAATGAATAAATTTGTTAATAAATTTATTAGAAATATATAACAAATGACTAAAAATGAGAATAATTGTACTATTTCGGCAACACTAAGTACTAACATTTCGCCTTCGGGTGCGTATGTTGAACCAGAGATTTCAAACTGATGTGTTGATATGTTTGTCTCTTGGGCTTTGTCAAAAATGAAAAGCTACGGAGAGAAAATAAATTGAAAATAGGTTATAAAATTAAAAAATAAGACAAACTGTAAGAAAATAAATGCAAGAAGCCCACCCTGCAAACAGACATCTGATTGGTTGTTAAAGTTCCGGTTTTGTCCGAGCAGATGACTGACGTACATCCAAGAGTCTCGACAGATGGCAGACTGCGCACTATTGCATTTTTCTTGGCCATTCTTCTGGTACCCAGGGCAAGGCAGGTGGTGATGACCGCGGGTAGGCCTTCGGGGATAGCCGCCACTGCCAAGGCCACTGCGATTTTGAAGTAGTAGACGGCTCCCTGTGGTTTGCACGGGGCGTAGAAAATAAGTTTTAAAGTCAGTACGTCGTATATTTTTGTATAATATATTATTCATCGCAATTGAAAAAAAAAAATATGACCCTGACCTTCATCCATGAACCGCCGTGAGCGGGGTCGTTGAAATGCCCGATGTTGATGGCCCAGACTGCAATGCATACCAGTGTAATGACCTGTGTGTGTTTGTGTGGGTGTGCGTGTGTGTTTGTGTGGGTGTGCGTGTGTGTGTGGGAATGTGAAATTTTAAGAAGATAGATAGAAAACCTTGGATAGTTGCTGACCGAATTCATCCAGTTTTTGTTGCAGAGGTGTCTTTTCTGATTCAGTTTCACTCATCTCAGTTCTAATTTTTCCTTAAAAACAAAAAAATAAACAAAAAACCCGAATGAACAAACGTATTAAACAAACAAATTAAAATCGTAATAAAGTATTCGAATCGGTTAAATCTTTCATACCGATTTCCGTATTGAGACCGGTGCCAATGACGATTCCTCGACATTTACCGGCTGCGATGTTCGTACCCTGTTAAGTGTTGAGATTAGTTTATATTATTATAAGTGGTTATAGAGTTGAGAGTGTTGTGTCCATACACTCAATCTTTTTCAACCCACTTTTAATTAATCAATTAATAGATAAGTTAATCAAATAATTGATTAATCAATAAGTTAAACGAGAAAGATAAAGAAACAAACGGAGAAGAGGATATTCTTCTTATCCTGGTTGACAGCTCTGGGATCCGGAATGGAATCCGTGTGCTTCAGTACGGACACACTCTCACCTAATAACAACAACAACATTAATAATAATAATAATATAAATAGTAATAATAATAATAATAATAATAATAGAAAACTGACCAGTAAGAATGGCCTGATCAACACGAAGAGTCGTTGAGAAGATTTTGGTGATTCTTATGTCTGCTGGGACTTTGTCACCAACTGTTGTTAAAGTGTAACATCATCATCATCATCATCATCAGGGTAACATCATCATCATTATCGTCGTCATCATCATCGTCGTCATCAACATCGTCATCATCAACATCGTCATCTTCGTCATCATCATCGTCATCATCAACATCGTGGTCAGCCGCAGCAGCTGCAGCAGCTTCACTACCATCGTCATCATCATCATCATTAGGTACTCACCAGAAACATCAACAACATCGCCTGGCACGAGTTCCCGGGCTTTTATTCTTTGAACGGTTTTGTTGTTCTTCCTGATGACCTTAGCTATTTCAGGCTCGTACTCTTTCAGTGCTTCGATCGCGTCTTCCGCATTTCTCTCCTGATTATGATGACGAAGATGATTGCGATGATGGTGAGGATGATGATGATGACGATGGTGATGACGATGGTGTTGACGATGATGATAATGACGATGATGAAGACGATGATGATGGTGATGATGATGATCGATGATGATGTTGGTGATGGTTATGATTGTTAAGAGAAAAGAATAAAAAATATTGATGGAAAGAATGATCGATGGTGATGAATGGAGCCTGAAAATGACAACGACAAATGTGTTGAAGATGAAAACGAAAGCTAAGTTTGGAATAATAATAATAATAATGATGATGATGATAATAATAATAATAACAATAATAATAATAACAATAATAAAAATAACAACAACAAAAACAATAACAATAATAATAATAATAATAATAATAACAATAATAATGATGACGATGATGACGACGATGATGATAACAAGGTTTTGGCGTTTGATT